TTAAAGGTACCAGAACCTGGAACCAGGCTCCTCTTAAAGGTACCAGAACCTGGAACCAGGCTCCTCCCTAAAGGTTCTGCGCCCTCCTAAAGGTGACCCATGGAAACCAGCTCCTGAAAGGAAGTTCTGGTGTTTGGTTCTGATGATCCAGAGTCCCAGACGGGTCAGCTGAATGATGGATCTCTGAGCTAAAGGAACCTCATGATCCCAGTTTGCTGTGAAGCTTCTTTCATGCCGTTTTTATCAAGTTACAGGAACAAACTGGTCACAGCTTCTTCCTCTGACGCCTGTTTTTCTGCAGGCTGCACTCCCCCTGCTGGCCAAAGCAGAGAATGCAGCTGCAGAGCGGTTCTGATGGGTTCTGGCCTCCTGCTCTGTTTGAGGCTCTGAAGACCTGCTGCACTTTAAACTGAGCTGCTAACTGGGCTTTAATCTGTCCGATTATCATTTAAAATCAAAGGAAATGGTTTTATAGAACAGCAGCACCTGTCTGTCAGTTTAATCTTTATTACCTTTACATCAGTTTTCATTGAAACAGTTCAGACGTCGTTCTTATCGACGTGAAGCTGAAACATCTGAACTGATAGCAGATGAAAGTCTGAGTCATTCAGCAGAAGTTTTTCTCTTTGATCGAGACAAGATCGCCCTGATGCTGTCTGAGAGAGACAAACAGACACACCCACTGACGGTAACCATGGAGACCAGGAGGGACATGTCCAGACAGGACAGGACTGCTGAAGGTTTCACCCTGAGGAGAGAAAAGCTAAAGAGCTGAACAGGAGGCAAAATAAATCTGCTGAAAAACTGAAGCAAAGATCTGCAGGAATCATCTGAGCTTAAAATCCCTGAAGAACAATGAGGGCGACGGCTTCCAGCATCACGTGTTTCACTGTAAAACATGGAGATTTAAGTCAGTCAGAAAGTAAATATGTAAAAATATATAAATTAATCTAAAAAACAAAACAAGAAGGAGAAGCGTTGGGCCTCCTGCTGCTCCTCCCAGCCTGTCAGCAGCTGATAGAGGAGGAATGTTTCGCCTCCAGCAGGAGGTTTGGAAACTTTGGAAGCTCTGGGGGATAAAATCAGGAGGAGTGAGGCATCCTGTCTGTTCTTAGGATCTCTGTGCTTGATCCAAAGTGTGAATCCGGTTCCGTCTCCTCCCATTTGCAGGTCAGAACCCGGACGACTTCCTGCAGGGGAACGGTGTGAATTCCGAGGCCCGGCGTCCAGGAGAGGACTCCACCATCGCTCCTGAGGACCGGGACCGCTTCCTCAGCTGCTACTGCTCTGGACACTGTCCTGATGACGCCATCAACAACACCTGCCAGTGAGTACGGCCGCCTGCCTGGGGTCCGCTCACTACCTGATCCGTTCTGCGCATGGGAACAGATATACATCCAAAGATATCATTACAGTTCTAGAATTACTTATTTCTATCCTTAAATCACTAAAGAATGCTAATACACGTCTTTAAAACAGGTTTTATGACTTTTCTTTGGCGATTTTGATGCTTTTTCTGTTTTCTTGTTAAAGTTCTTCTGTGATGTCATCATGGGTCATGCTCAGAGCCGTCCAGCTAAATCTGATTAAACCTTATTTTATTTTATCTGCATTTTAGTTGTTTCTTTTTTAAGGTTACTTACTATACACCATAATGTTTACACGAAAGGAAAACGTAGGAAAACGTAGCATCCCATTTCCGGTGCAGATCGGGAACAGACGAAAATAGAAACGACTTTAATGTATTTATTTTCTCAGAAAATATAAT